AAGCAACTCTAAGTTTGCGACCATGTAACCCTAGGCATCACTCAGAATCGTCTGTAATACTTTTATTGTACTTTTCTAAACTTCAAATAGCTATTTTTCTGTCACTACAGTACCATACAGTCCCTGAGACATGGGACACTGTCATTTTTTTCTACATTAGTGGGAACCCATATGGGTAGCAACTCATCCAATCTTCATCCTTCAAAATGATAAATGACGGTAAGCCCATGAAAGAACTACTGCGCGGCTTTTTTCAAAAACCAGCCAAAAAATCTGCCCTTCAAAAAATTGGAATTTCCAGAGAAAATCAACACTCACATTGTCCAATATCTGATTTTACCTTTCCCAAGGTGTACCTTCCTTTCACTACGGGAATCTCCCTTATGGCAAACCCCATGAACAATAATAAAATTCAAAAATCGGCCCAAATTTTCATTTGTACTTCAGGCGACTACTCTCGATTATATGTATGTTTCGTGTTCTCTCGCTCTGCCGGTTTCTGCTTTCTACAGCTCATTATCCCGTCGACAGCCGTCGTCATTACCTCATGGGTGTCATTGTGGATGGAGAACGAGACATCGTTTCAGGTACGCCTAGTATAGCTATTGTGCCAAATTATATTTCACGGGAAACAATTTGCTAAAGACCAAAGGTACGGGCGAGAGGTCGTTACTAGCTGACCCGAGATGAATCCCCTTTATTGAGAGGGTCGCATGTAATGAAGATGATTCGTAACCGTTACCATTTCCAAAGATGCGTACGGGTTTCCGCTCAAGGTGGCAGGAGGGATCTGGTGGAATGTACGAGTTCTCCGTCTCGGTTCGCACAAAATGGTCCAAATAAGGTTTATCCTATCATTAAAAGCGAGTTCACACCCTGGCTTCGCATAAACTCGTCCAGAGAATCTGTGGAGACCATACTAATGACTGTGTACAGAATCCTTTAATATTGAAATTATCTTTCAGGATATGATATCGATTATATTAACAATTACGTTTTTATTATTCTCTTACAACGAAGTAATGCCTCGAGTCAGTTATATCAAGGCTATGGATGTGTACCTTGGTAAGTTCTAGACATCTCGAGAACAAACGGGCTCTCCTAAACTCTTCAAACATGGACTAGAAGGGGTTAAAAGCTGCACAAATGCAGTTCTAAAGATACACTTTCTTAGTAAGAGCGTACACAAGCGAAACTTGGTCCTTGAGAAGTTCGGCAAGTTTGGCACTGCCACCCATACCTCATGTGGCGTAGGAAATTCAGGGGAACCAGAAGAAGTTCTGGAACAATAACGGGCATAGCCTATTCGATCCTACCCGAGATATCAGGAAAATCAAAAGCTCTTTGAGGATATAGCAGAACAAGGTCAACGATAAAAGATAGTACAAAAAAAGAATATGAATTTTAGGTGTATGCTTCTGTATAGTATTCTGTTCATTGATCAAATTGGCCATTATAAAATATATGCGACAACGGTTGAAAATAACACGGTAAAGCATTTTCCTACCTCAGCACTTTGAGGGTTTCATATCGTAACCCCTTTATTCGATTTTTGAGCTCCCGCCATTCAGGGAAACATCGATTGTCGCTGGTTTGATACCTATTGTGCGTGTAGTGAACGGTATAAGTGATCCTAACACTACTCTCTACGCTCTTGAGCAGGGCGCTGTGAAAAAGTAAGTATTTCGGCCTCTTAACCATTGAAAAATGTTTTTGCAACAACTCTTAAAGGTCTCTGCTCGCTCTACTTTCTCGCTTGACTCTTCTGATTTTTTTGTTTATTTTTTCTTTAAGTTTTGTATTTCGAATGTTTTCTATTCATTCTATTTGTCGCTAACTAATATTCTTAACTATCATCTTTTTTTACTGGACTTCCCAAGTCATTTTTCCATAGTGTGGAATTGTTTTGAGATGCGCCATGCTTTCAACTTTTATTCATTCAGTGGTGCCTTTCAAATGTTTCTAGACCGAACATCGCTTTCCAACGGCTATGACCCCTAGATACAGACCGAATGAAACTTTTAATCTACGATAGGATTCACAGCCTCTCCCGCCATTCCAAGTCGTTGAACTTTGCCCAATTCATCAGACCATCTTTTCCTCTCTCTTTGCGATAACATGGCGTAATTCACACATAGTCACTTCTCGTACATGAATTGTGTTTGAGCTACCAGTGAATTATTCTGAATTATTCATTGAATTTTTTTTATTTCAAGAATAAATCTTTAAGAATATCTTACACTTTCAGGAATGGCCATTATAGTTCATTACCTACGGACAAACACGATTCCACGGTAACGGTGGATTCAAAAGCGAAATCTATCGAATTCTCACCTCGTTTTATACATCGATTCCATTGGATATCACAAGTGATTACCATTCTTTCACCATTTTATTTATTTATTTATCTATTCAGTTGACTCCTGTTGACAGTTTATCCTGTTGAGCTCGGAGAAAATTGAATGGAATCCTATTTGTTCTCTTACTAGTCTTATTTTATCTATAAAATTCTAATCATGTGACTTTTTTTATTTTCAGATGTCATTCTTCTTTGGATTCGTCATCTTTTGTTTATTCTATTTTCTAGTCTATCCCAATATTCATACACAGGTAACATTAATGTTTTTCCATCGATATTTTAATTATCGTCAACAAATATCAGTGATCAGAGATCGTAATTTGATAACGAATTGATAAGAAAATAGGTGAATGCCAAGTGGCAAAACTGGTTATACTTTGATCTCGAGTTGCCCAACATCGTGGCTGAAAATAGCCGGTCCCACCCTGTTTTGTGATATTTTGTTTATTACACCATGAAGGCACGGGTTGGTCAGGCTGCGAAGACGTTTTTAAAGAAGTTAAATGCACTTCTTTCAACAATTGTACTTGAAAAAAAAGTAAAAACAAAGTTTTTATTATCTTTTGTTGTAATTAATGATCATAATTGATTGTACGAATCGAACGCATTTTCATTAAAAATCGTATTATATGACAAAAAATTGAGTATACCCTAAAAATCCTAGAAATGCCTATGAAAACCCTAGGAAAGCGTATAGCCTGAAAAAAAAGCACTGGAAACTTTAATTTTACCAGTTTTCAAGGATTTCTGCAGTCAAATCATCGATTCTCTCCAATACTGAACAAGCTAAAATTAGCTTCACAGAGAAAACCTTAATTTGTTTACCTATAGTCCAAAATTTGTTTGTAGATTTTTTTGCAATTAGAGTTACAACTTTTCTTTTTATTGAGTTACCAGTAAGAGGCTTCCCATCTGTAGGGACGAGAGATGTTCTACGACGAGTACTAAAATGTGGGGAGCTCGAGGAACCCTTTTATATTCAGAATGCAATGTTGCTTTTTTGAAAAGAACTTTTGCTCATCAGTCCATAAAGTCGCTTACCCTTTTTTTACGTTTTTCGACTTCGAGCAACCTTATTAGTCGGGAAACCTTGAAAAAAGTTACTTCGCCTCTTTTTTAGTACATTAAAGTCTTTCCCCATTAAGGAATGGAACAGATAAATTCTATGCTCAAACATGGAGTGGCATAGGTCCATTGAACCGGATGAAAGGCTTGCCAATAAAATTTGTTGAATGGAGGCCACTTCGAGCAGTTTAACTTTTCCCCTGGAGACATGAAAAATGACTTTCCAAGTTTTTCAAGGGGTGTCTCAGATTGAAGTGGATGCTATTCTTGTATGCTCTCTGCTAGTTGATGTCTCCGCACGATCTCCCTTTCTCCTCGGCGAAAGAAGGCACAAATGCAGTTTAGACATGTAATAGAATTGACATTGTTCAAATTTAGAACCATGGAAGAAGAAAGTTCCCTCTCAAGAGGGGAACGGAATGTCCTTCGAACATACTTGTCAGGGAACACCGAGGGCAAGGGTGAAACTTGGCTTTCAGTCCTATTCTGCGATATCCAGACACATACGTGAGCTATTCAGGGGAGGGGGTCTTGGAAAGTAGAGAAAAAAGTGTCGTTTGCTGTAGGGTAGTAGGTTAGCTCCCAGTACGGAGTGTTGCATGTCTGACATTTCCTGATGAATGAGAATAAACTCTAGTGGTTTTTTTTTGTAAAAATGCCTTTTTTATTTACTAATTGATCGAGCTAGTGTTGACGTCATTTTTATTTTATGGATTGTAAATATCGATTAATCCACTTTGCCTGTTTAGCTGGTTGATGACGACTGTGATCGCGAAGCTGCTGAATGGTTTGCGGATATTCGATGATGATCTCCGCTCAATATTTGGCCATATTATAATATTTGTTTAAATTTTTTTCTTTCATAGTTCTCCATATGTATATTTGTACAGACCGATATTTTACGGTAATGCTTACATATTTGAATAAAGATTCTACTAAGCAAAGAATATTGTAGTNAGCGGTTCATACTCAACGTGAGCGGCAAAATCAATAAATAGGCATATCCAGACTGCTCATGGGCCACGCTCTACTTGACAACCAATCGGAGCTTTCACGTGAACAGGTACGCACCTTCTCTCTATGCACGAGGCAACTCATACAAATATTTACTCGATACAACAAAAATATTTACACCAAATTTATACAATGTTTACAAGAACGATTCACGTTGTGAGTATTGGAGCAGCCTGAAATTATGATAGGATAGGTTGGTTATGGATGATTATGTGTAATAGTTGAACGGTAATGGTAAATACATATTTTATCAAAAACGCTCCTCAATTAGGAGTATTTGTTGAAAATAAGTTAGTTTTGAAAGGGGAATGCACTACTTCGCGCGCGCGGTCGCGGTAGAGTCGTTATCGCTAAAAGGGAAACGCAGTGGTGGTTGGCATGCATTGGCCGCGCGCGGTCGCGGTGCAGTCGTTAGGGCGGAAAGCGCTACTGCAGCGCGGTTTATGCGCACCGTTCAAACGGAATCATACTTGAATCACGCCTCACTTCAGATTTAAGTGAAATGGTGGAAGGGAATTTCGAGTCATATTGGTATAATCCCTGCCCACTGCAATCTGGCTACTTACCTTTTGTTTGTACCTCATCGTTTTCCTGCGCATCGAGCAGTAGCACAAGTTATCCAGAGGTGCGCATCTTTCGATCCAACATAGGTATTGCCCCAATCATCAGCACTGAAAGGAAGGGAACAAGTAACTTATAATTGAGCAACATTACCAGAAACAAACTTTTTTCTTTGGTTCCATGTGGCAGAAAAGGAATTTGCTTTCCCATTTTGGAGGTCAACCTACTGTGCAAGACCGTTCTTCAATAGTTGGGTACTAAAAAGTTAACAAACCCTATTACTATGCTCTCGACATTGAATCTGGGATCAATACTCGCCCAGAGCCTCCCCTCCATGACCGCTTGTTTGGCTCGTTTGGGAGATTAAGGCACTGATCGGCCAGTCATTGTAAAGGCCACTTAAGAATTCAAACATCCTATACGGTTCTGAATGGAGGTCGAAGCTCGAGTATTAGAAGGGTGGGGAGTCCCGGGAGTCCCAAAAAGAAATCGGCCAACGTGACTTCACCCTCAACTTTGAAAAAGTTCGTTTCGCTTACAACGCAAATGGTTTCTTTGTTATAGTGAAGGACTCACCCGAATTGAGGAAAGGGTAAACTGGTACACAAAGCGATCAACAACAACAGAATGAACATGAGGACGCGCATTTCTGCTTGGATTTCGGAGTAGGCCTGAAATAACTGGTTATGATGCCGAGTTACAGAAGAAATGTCAGGCTTCAAAGGGTACAGAGACCTCGTGAATCAAATGGAATACGAAGTTTTCCTAAGATTAGGAGAGAAGTAAACATCTATGTCAGGTTCTGTCAACTATACATTAATTGTACGAGCTTCTCCGTGCAACGGATTCTCAAAAATCATCAAAAAGTAGCAGAGCACAGGATGAAGGATCATCGTCCTACACGTAGGGTATTGGAGGAAGTGTGATGTTCCTGTTGACTATTTTCTACCTTTTATAGCAACTGTCACATAGCTAGCAACCCGTGATTCCGTCTTGTAAGCAGTTGCAGAGTGTTTTCTATTGAGCATTCCATCTATCACGTCAGGCAAGGGAACAAACATCAAAATTTCTGAAGTGTTCACGTGGACAGCACGGTCTTAGAACGCCGCTCTCGGTCTCCAAGGACATCAAGTTGGAGTGTGATGTGACATGGGTATCTTTGGCTCAATCCCGTTCACTAACTCGCCCATGACCTTTAGTCCTAGTCAGCAACCTTTGTGGCAACAAGGAGAATCACGAGAAAAACCTTGGCATAGGGTAGGAATAGAACTGTCATCTTTGCCTGACCTACATATCTAGTCTGGGAACTGCCGTAGCTTATAGATTCACGGTTCTTCCGCGTGATTATGTAACATTGTTACAGGTATGAATGCTATAACCACAGATCAAACGGCCAGAAGGTAGCTGAGGGGAGGGAGTTTTTCATGGCCTAGTCATTCGCTTTTGCATCAGTTCAAGTTCACAAGTTCGAGCCTTGTCAGGCGACTGATATTTTAATCCAGAGAACTTCCAATAGCTGCAATAGTGGCTGTGAGCGCTGCAAGCAACTCATTTCTGAGAATGAGCTCCGAAGCGAGCTCGCTCATACAGGACGATTTGTTACTATGTATATGTCACCTTCACAAAAGCTCTCTCCTTATCATCAAGGGTTCTTTTATCCCTGCACGAGCTTACGCCTAGTGTCTTATCCGTCCCCGCCACTTCTCTAGAACTTTGCGCTTTCGCTGATCTGATAATGATAGCAATCCTATGATAATTACTGATATCACACAATGAACACAATGGGAAACAATAGTTTATTAGCAAGGATACAGTCTCTGATTTCTCGATTGAAATTGTCATAATGCAGGAACTGAAGAACCTGAAATTTCGAGTAGATGATTCCGATTCAAAGTAAATCGAGCTAGGAACCACTGATGACAGTAGAGGAACATAGGAAGATGCAGTTTGAAACGCAAGGTACTATAGTTCCTCTCATAGCTACAGATATCAATCACGGGGTAAAGTGTTCAGTTCCATTTCGCAGTCATCGCTTTTTGGGACCAACGGTGGGAGTAGGAATTTCCCCATTGCATTCGCTACAATGTCGACCATTTCCTCCCAGTTTTACAAAAAGCGCTGCGCAGGGTGAGTGTTACGGACCTAATAATAACTCCGCTGAAGAGCTGCTCCACACCTAGACCCAAGGCCGAAAAATGCTCTTTTGGATAATTCTGACCCTTGCGTGGTCCATTCTGCGAATGTTTATTCGACTACTATTTCTATTCAGACTGACCTTTACTTATTCTATTACCTTCTTAATATTCATTTACATAGTTTCCTGTCTCATCGCACGGCGACATTTGTAACATTTTATGGTTATAGAGAAGATTCCATACACGTAGAATTTCACGCATGAGAAGAATCTGTATCACAAATAAACAGTGAAAACACTGACATGATAGAATCGTTCAGTTGCTTGATCAGCACTTTGCATAAGAGTGATATTGGCTAAAGCCTGGTAGCAATACGTACTGCCCAAAAGGGCTGTGACCGCGGGAAACAGGGATATCGATCACGTGCGCCAGGCTGATCTTCTCTTTTGGCCGTACCCTTTATCTCGATCGCGCAACATAGACATTTCAACAAGGCCAGTAAGTTCAAATAGCCTATAAACGATGATCATTTCTCATGGGCCTATCTTGTTTACGGCCCAAAAATGTCGATGCTGTCTCTGCTATNACAGAAGGTTCCGAGATCAATATGTTAACTATCTCCGTGTTGCGAATTTCCCCGACCACCGTTGATTATCTACTCTTCTTTTCAAAGACGACCGCCTCTACAGGGAGCTCTCGAAGATCTCGGAACACAAGAGCAACGTGGTCGGTCTCAAACTCGACCAGTTTACGTGTCGAACACTAGAAGCGACAATCGAAGGAAATATCGTGGCTCATTCAAAACTCTTTGAAGGACTTCACCGGCTTAAAGCCTGCTTTGGAATGGCTGGTCTAGCATACCACTCCCTCTTTCAACCTCTTTCGTCTGCACACTACAGAAAAATGAAGGCTTGCTTCAGAGTGGTCACTGCTCGCGTTTTTGAAGCGCCTATGCACGTATATTCCAAGTCTTCAAAACGGAGCTACGTAGGCAGCGTCTCATGTGCGCGCACAAAACAGCGGTTCCATGCGAAGTGTTCCAGACTCAAAACGTCCTGTTGCGCTCGGCAAGAAAAGCTCTTCTTTCTGAGAATAGGGAGTTCTGAGCCTTTATCACACTATATTCAATTCTGCACTAGCCGCCACTGATATTCCGCCCCAATCGACGACACCACACTTTACTCCATTCACCGTCATTCAACACCGATCCAGTCTAACGTTCCGCCACACTTCGACTAACGGCTCGGTTAGCTTGGCCGCTTCACATAACAATCTTCGGGAAGACTATTCTGTCAGTTATGCTGACAATAATCCGTCACGAACCTGAGCTAGTATGATCTTGGTCGGATAAGCGCTTCTCAATCTAGTCACTATCTCCATGTCCACCAACAGCTCGAAGAAATACCTTAACAAACGAGTCCAGTACAAATAAAAATCGTCATAAATGTTTTTTCACATGAAAACTCCCCATGAAGCAAAAGAGTAAGAGAAGCGAAGTCGTGACGTTACTCAGACTGTTTACTACATCTGTTGTGTTATAAGTATTTTGCTTGATATGTTCTTTTAAAAGTAGAATGAAATTTGACAGTTCTCAGAGCTCGACAATGCGGCTATTTTACTAGTAGATGAGGCAATAATTCAATCAATGAAAGTTTTCTCTTAGGTACTATGGTATTCGTTTACGTCATAGTATCTGAACATCTCCAAAGTTAACGGGGGCGACAATATTCGACGACACCCAGAATTCATTTTGTTCCCTGGGCGTACTTTTCCCAAATAAGTCTGAAATCACCATTAGGTGAATTTTTCTTCATTGGACCTGGGCTATCCTGTTTGCGTATGCTAGATATCATTCGTCCTACGCTCTTGAGCTTCCTTCGACGGTTTGCAGAAAATCAGTTCCTACTATTAGTACGGATGTGTACTGTCTTCGGTCTAGCTGTTCTGGTTAGGAATTCAGTCGTTCCATTTCTCTGCGTATATGTATACTTCTTATGCTACTCTTTTTTCTCACATTGTGTCACATAGCCTGTTGATCAACAGAATTTTTCCATAGTTTTTTCTCGATTTCAATGAAGGTTAAAGGAACAAGACTGGAACTCGAGCTCCGTTTCATCTGCTGCTGTCGGATTAGCGGTGAGACTGCTTCCCGACCGGAGCGAGTGCTCACAGCCAGCATCGAACTTTCAGAAGGAGATTCTACTCACCTCGACCAATGCGCAAGTATTAACAACATAAAATGAGGACTACTGCAAGTCGATATTTACTTTAGAGAAACGCGGTCAGATCGATGGGATACTACTAATGAATCCGGCAAGTCTCAATGATGTATCATCTAATCAGAGTGAATCAATACCATAGAAGATGCCATTGATCGCCCTCTTATTCCACACAGTGGATTCGCTTGCAGGAAATAAGTAACTGTACTCTGAATCTTCGCTGAATTCGGTACGACGTCAGAGCAATGGACTGTCTGGAGAGCCTGACTGTGACAACGTGTACCACTAGTCATATATAATCAAACATGGCTAGTCGGATAATCTTTTCAGAAATATAACTTACTCTTCAACTTCTTGCATTGCGTCATCTGAATCGGAGTCGCATAGACCTTCAGATGTGATGTCGTCACTGAGGAAGTCGCCACCTCCACCCACGAAGTGGTTGTGCATCCGCAACTGACGATGACGTTCAAACGAATGTGTGATCGACCACATTCTTTCTGCTTTTATGCTCATGCAATCATGCACTATCGATCCAAAAATCGCATAAAATAAACAACGGACATAGTATCTCTGGGCATAAGACAGAAATGCTATGCAACTCAGACACTTTTAGTCATGCCTTGCCAAATTACGAAATTTTATTTGGCACAGGAAAATTCTTCACATGCAGGAGTTCGCACTTAAAGAGAGGAATGTATTGTACAAATAAAGTAAAAAATGACTTTCATGTTCGTTTTTTAAAATCTGGCCAGTTCTTATCGTATGAGTTTCCCAAGCTTTTGTGCCAAACAGGTTCTTTGACGTGTGTCTGCGTCGGCAGGTGTCACCGTCTTTGGTGATGCGCAGAAACTATGGGTTGCCTAAATTAGCTGACTTTGATCCGGTCTTCTGCACTGTGGTGCAATGTTAAGGTTCATAGCATGAACTTCAAAACGTTAGTGAAACCATGGCAGCAGGGCGAGGTGAAATCTTTGGGCATGATCAAAAACCGCCCAGGATAGGAGACGATTCGGATTCTTGCGCGCTACAGTCCAGCGTTTTATGCTCCCTTATGGATGAAATTTTTGGGGCTTCGAAAAGGAAAAGTTCTAATTGCTCTGGTTTCTTGACCTGTTCAATATTCGAGTCTATGCCGGAAAGAATGTCAGCTGATCTACGGTATGAAATAAAAATGCGCCCGAACTGTTACGCGTACGACAGAAGAATGAAGTTGTTCATTCTTTATAGAAATGTCTTACATTTACTTTTTTATGGAAATGTCTTGCATTTACTCTGCTCCTCTCTGCCTATTCGTCAGTTGATTCATTTTATGTTGCGGTACTGAGTGAGTACTTATACCATCCAAAGAGAAGCCTCCTAACTGGGATCTTCGCGTTGTGCACTTTTTGCTCCTCTTCAGTAGCGCTGCTGTGCCACTTTCCTAGCTTACCTCTTCTACGTGGAATGCCGGAATAACAATGTTTCGAAGTTTCGGTAGATTCCTATGACCCTGTACGTGGTGAGCGGACATCTTTGCCGACCGATGCAGAGCTATGTCACGTTGAACTTCTGGATGAGCGTCCTCAGTGTCCGCATGAGCTCATGCTTGTGCTCTGCATTGGTTACTGATCCTATCCTGGTTCTTGACTTGTTTTGGTGGGGCACTGTGCACACCCTTTGGTCTCCCTTTGTACTCAATTGAGGAACCTCTCGATGCACGAGACTACTTCCGTTCTTCTGATTCTACAGTTGCGTTGTGTTGTTTATCTTCAATTTTTTTTTGTTTTCATATGTTTCTTTCTTCTCTCTTAGTTGGACAAGTGATTCTTCTTCCTCTAGTATTCATATTTTTCTCTGAGGCGAACAGTTGAATTATAGTGGTCGGTTTTTTCTCTCTACTCTGTCCTTGTCAGTTGTGTTCATGGCTTTGACTCCACTACTACATATTCCTCACTGGTCTCACGCCTTCGTAAAATTGTAGCGCGTTCTTTGAGCGTAACAAATAAATGAAACTGTTGGCCAATTCCCGTGGATGATACCTCTGAATGGTGAAAATACCCACCACAATTAATGTGCACTCATCGTACCCATAAAGTAGAGCCTGAAGACCAGTTACACGAGCGACGAACGGGACATGGGCATTTTCCCGAAAGGGGCTCGTATTTCACATTTTCGAGAGAATGCGTTTTTCACCACTCCATAATCTACGCGTGAAGATGATCCCATTACATGAATGCAAAGGCACTATAACCGTACCATGCTGGTTCCCTTCGAGAAACGATTCACTCTCTCTCTCAGAATTGCTCTGCTCCAAGTTATTTACGGGCTTACGACCATGTGTTCCGTCAACTTTATGGTACCATAACTAGAAGTTCAGGGAATGTCGAGCTGAAGGAAACGTTTCTTCATCCATGACCATCCCCAGGATGTGCATGGCCAGTCGCTGTGATTGATCCTTTGATCTCTGAAGGTGAAACACTCACCCAACTCTTCTCAACAGCAATACGACCGCTGTTACCTTGAATTCTTCTTCCTTTTTCTCTTATTATGCGCTTTTTATTTTATTTATAACTTAGTTTTCAGTGCTACTCCATCCTCCTTGGCCTTTTCTTCAATTTTCTGACTTTCATTCTCTGCTTAATAATCAATGTTCGAATCTTCACAGCATAATAACTTCACAGGCTATTAATTACCAAAAATGTTTACTATTTCAACTTTTCCTGTCAAAAGCAGCCAGTTCAAGAGATGTATGGGAGGATACCGTTGTCGACGGCCATATTCCTTTACCGCCGGCTATTAATCCACTGAAGGGCTTCGCCGTGGTTTATTGCTAGTCCAACAATTTTTTTTAAGTTTCTGGTTCCTAAAGTGACACTCTTGCTATTGCTATGACTACGCTGCTAGAGGGAAGCAAAAATGATCCCGATTTCATGGCTCAAAATATGCTGATATGGAAGAAAGACTTTGACGAGGGAAGAATAATCCCAAGCCAATCGAATTTTTCCTTAGCTCCCGTCCGTTTGAACGAACTTTGATGCATTCGAACTCTTGTCTATGCCGGCAATTTCATTTCGTCCTTTTTTTTGAAAAACTTCCTGTACTTCTTCTTTGCCATCAGTTGCCACAACGATATCGTCGCACTGGAAAATATCCGGAAGTGACGTCTCCGTCTACGTTCCCCAAACATTGCAAAAGGTGGTCGTACTGAAGTGGTACGGAAGAAAAAGAGATGGAATTCTTATTAGCGACTGGAGTAGAGCCTCTCAACGTTTGCAAATCTCGTTTTTGAGTTGCTCTCTTATGCGACTTCCACTTTCAATTGCAGTATGTAGCAGTTTGAGGTGTATGTGGCCTACACAAAGATGGGGGTGACCAGCGATGTTCAAGTCAGTGCATTCGTTCTTCTGAAAAAGTCTTGTACCAAATAATCAACTCCAAAATGACAGAATGCTTCAACCTTGACAGTTATCAATCCGTCAACCCCGTATGAGCTCATAAAGGTGCGCCACTTGGCATTGGAACACCTCCACCGCAATTTTTGATTATAATTGGAGGTGATGTAGTGCGCACTATATCACGGTCAGGGGTTCGAATCCTGGATCGATGCCCGCCACTACGATTCTGAATGGAAGTCGAGTGCGGGGCGCATCCCTCAGACGGGATAGATCAACGCCAGAAACTTTATCCCTTATCCTCTAATTGGGCATTTTTCCATTAATTAATCGAGCTAAATGACAAACGAAATTCGATTCTCTCTGATTACATGAAACCCATCAAATCAGAATCAGCACTAAAATTCCATTCGCTTACAAAATTACTTCTACTCTGATACTGAAGGACCATTGATATAGAATTCAGCGCAGATATTATGATAGTAATTTAGCCCAGCCTTGATAGATGGAGCGAGATGTAAGCGTTTCCTCTTTCACCAAATGGGTGGAAGGGTGTTCGATAAGATCGAGGAGTTCAAATTGACGAATAATTTCGCTTTCTAAGCAAAGTAATGTGTCAGAGAGACAATGACTATCAGTTCTACCCGACCTTACCTAACCATGTACTGGTTTCTTCCTAGTACATAACCAAACGTAGGTGATGAAGAAAGAGGAAGGTGAGGCAATGGAATCGCTTACTTTTCATAGCATACTTTCTATCCTTTTGTACTGTAATACCTCTTATATCACTGGTAACGTGCATAATCGTAAGAATGTGGCTGCACCGCAATATCTTTCTCAAAAAGCCGCTTTTTGCCCTGTTCCAGTCATCCACAGTATTAGTAATGGAATCTGCTGTTGCATCATAACCAGTCTTAACACTTCTTCTCTAGCGCTTTTTTCGTTCTCCCAATAGGCTTTCCCATGCGGGTCCACCCTATCCGAACTATTTTTCGACGTCGTTCCATACCTTTAAGTTGAGCGCTGGCCTGTCAGGCGTGCTTGATGCTGCTACACGGAACCGTTGATTCCCTAAGTTGCTGAGCGTCACTATACTGTTTATTTATTTACTTTTTATCATGCTGAGTTTGTCATAATGTTTCAATCGTACTTTGAATGATAATTAGATTATCATCAATTAGTATTGAGTCAGCAGTAGACCTTTGGGACACAGTTGCAACAGGGCGGCATAGCACCTAAGGTAAATATCACTGAGCTTTCAGTGGAGAAGATATGGCATGGAGTATCCAATTGGGCTAAAAGGGACGTCTAATAGGGCAATCGGCTTTGTGAGCCGTTGGGAAAGGGCTCAGTCTCAGTATCCCTATACATAGCAGTGGCGGCCCACGTAAAACAGTCCGAAGCCTCGAAGCCAGAAGTAGAAGAAATTGTGTCCAAATGAGATGCTCTGACCCTGTTCAACAAAATTTCTCACAAAAATCACGTAAGCGGCGTACCCTTCTGAGCTATTTTAGCCCTACTTCTGAAGATATTACAGATTCTCTTCTTGAATATTTTTGCTCAGTTCTTTCTATTTGTACTCTATCTTTCCCAGAAAACTGACTTTTGCTCAAGGCATGGTGCATTCCAGGGATTCAGGTCCTTTGTATATCATTTTTCATAACTGGTGTCGGTTCTGTACTCGCCTAATGTCGTCGCAGAGTCATCACCACTATTTTTAAGCCATCTACAGAATGAAGCGCTCTCACGTAGGAATGGGGTCGACGGCGGAATCTTGCCAGTTTCTAGAATTCGTATTTAATTGTGATGGGGAAGTCATTACCTTAACTGCAATCTCCCTCTCTTTAAATGGAAACTGCCCATTTGCTCAGCAAACGTATCGGCAGGCCTGGGTTCCCCTTGCTGGTCAACGCAGCTAGCTGGTTCCCGTTACTTCACCTATTGATGGTTCTAATGAGATCATAACGGTAGATTACATTATGCTATTGCAGTCCGATTCGCATACACACGCTCGCTATGCTTATGGGTATCCAGTGGCGCCAATCTTACGTAACTCATCCGGGTAGCTCTAAAAAT